ATATAATGGAGAGAGAGAGAAAGAGAAGGGGAAAGAGGCGGAATATGAGTAAAAGAGAGAGAAAAAATTGGGAAAGAAGGATAGATAGAAGGAGGTGAGAAGAGAGAGACAGATATAGGTGAAGAGAGAGTTAAAAGGGGTGAGAAGAGAGAGATAGAAGGGGTGAGAATAAAGAGAGAGAGAGTAAATAGGGACATAGGAGAATGCGTACGGTCTTTCTTGGTGTTCATTACTATAGGGGTGTGGTCATCGGTGGACGAGGGGCACAATTATGATGTGGTATATCTCGACTTAGGAAAGCCTTCGACAGAGTCCCCCACGAAAGATTAATTAGAAAGGTAGAAGCACATGGCATCAAAGGTAATATCCTTAAATGGATTAGGGCGTGGTTACAGGACAGGAAACAGCGAGTGAGCATTAACGGCACCTGTCCCATTGGAGCAACGTCACAAGTGGAGTTCTCAAGGCTCGTACTTGGACCATTATTATTTTATTATATACATGTAAACGACATCGATATCGGCACAGACAGCAAACATAAGTAAATTTGTTGATGACACTAAATAGACGGTTATTAAATCTGACGAGCACTCAAACCAGGAATATCTAAACAAATTTTCGAATGGTCTGAAAAATGGCAGATGAAATTCAATGTGGACAAATGCAAAGTACTCAGTATAGGTGTAAACAGGGAAATCAGATACCAGATGAACAACGATGCTATTGTGGAATCCGACTGTGAGAGAGATTTAGGAGTAATGATAAGTAGGAATCTTAAGCCAAGTAAATAATGTGCTTTTGCTCGTAACAAGGCTAATAAAGTACTTGGGTTCATACAAAGGAGTGTTAGTTACAAGACTAGCGAGGTCATCCTAAAACTGTATCTTGCTCTTGTGGGACCACACCTGGATTACGGTCTGCCCTGGTCACCGTATTACAGAATGGATATAGAATCATTGGAAAGAATTCAGAGGAGAATGACAAGACTAATCCCAGGCATTAGGAACCTTGAGTATAGAGACAGGTTAAAGCATCTTAATTTGCACTTCCTCGAGAGACGTAGAGCGAGGGGCGACCTGATAGAGGTGTATAAGTGGAAGGCAGGGCTAAACAAAGGGGACATTACAAAGGTACTCAAACTATCCAACCAGGAGCGAACTTGTAACAATGGTTTTAAATTAGACAAATTTAGATTTAGGCGTGAAACAGGTAAACACTGGTTTGGAAACAGAGTAGTGGATGAATGGAACAAGTTACCAAATATCATCATTAACTCGAATACGCCGGATAGCTTCAAACATGGGTTGGATGCTTATATGAGCAATAGGGGTTGGGTGTAAACGGGACTGCCCAGTATGAGCCAATAGGCCCGCTGCAGTTTTCTCCATTCTTATGCTCTTATGAGCAGGCAAGTAATGTCATGGGTGAGTGGATAAGGTAATGGGTGGGTGGGGAGGATAATGGGTGAGTGGGTAAGGTAATGGGTGGGTGGGGAGATAATGGGTGGATGGGGAGGATAATGGTGAATGGGGAGGATAATGGGTGAGGTGGGTATGTAATGGGTGGGTGAGGATAATGGTGGGTGGGGAGGATAATGGGTGAGGGTAAGGTAATGGGTGGGTGGGGAGGATAATGGTGGTGGGGAGGATAATGGTGGGTGGGGAGGATTGGAGGGTGAGTGGAGAGGATAATGGGTGTGGATGGGGAGGATAATGGTGAGTGGGGTAAGGTAATGGGTGAGCAGGCAAGGTAATGGGTGAGGGTAAGGTAATGGGTGGGTGGGGAGGATAATGGGTGGGTGGGGAGGATGAATGGGTGGATGGGGAGGATAATGGTGGAGGGGGGGAGGATAATGGGTGGGAGGGGAGGATACTGGTGGTTGGGGAGGACAATGGGTGGGTGGGTAGGGTAATGGGTGGGTGGGGAGGATAATGGGTGGGTGGGGAGGATAATGGGTGGGTGGGGAGGCAGATGGGGAGGATTATGAGTGGATGGGAGGATAATGGGTGGTGGGTGGGTAGGGTAATGGGTGGTTGGGGAGGATAATGAGTGGGTGGGGAGGATAATGGGTGATGGGGAGGATCATGGGTGGAAGTAATGGGTGGGTGGGTAGGGTAATGGGTGGTTGGGTAGGCTAATTGGTGGGTGGGGATGATAATGGGTGGATGGGGATGGTAATGGGTGGATGGGGAGGATAATGGGTGAATGGGGAGGATAATAGGTAGGTAAGTGGGGAGGGTGATGGGTGGATGGGGAGGATAATGGGTGAGTGGGGAGGATAATAATAATAATAATAATAATAATAATAATAATAATAATAATAATAATAATAATAAACGGTTTATTAATAGAGTTACAGCCGATGGCTGAAAATATACAAACTTACATGTGATTTGGACATAATAATATATGTTCAATACATTTACAGGGCTGTACAGTACATAAACCAGGAGCTGTTTATTATTTTAACAATAGATGAGATGGTGCTATTCTTATATAAGAACATAAGAATGGAGGAAACTGCAGCGGGCCTATTGGCCCATACTGGATAGTCCCATTTATACCCAACCCCTATTTTTCATATATCCATCTAACCTATGTTTGAAGCTATCCTGCGTATTCGAGTTTATGATGATGTTTGGTAACTTGTTCCACTCGTCCACTACTCTATTTCCAAACCAATGTCTACTTGTTTTGCGCTTAAATCTAAATTTGTCCTCATATTGCCAAATTGCTGTGGATCAATTGACTGATAGATACTAGCAAATGCCCATTCAAAAACAAAGTCTTCACAGAGTAGACTGGGTATGGGGGTAATGGCAACTGGCCTGAGGTCGTTAGGGGACTGTGGGGTGGGGACCTTTGGGATAGGGGTGACAAATGCGGTTTTCCATTCATTAGGGCATTTGCTTTGTCTAAGGGATGCATTAATAATGGAACAGAGAGGGGTGGCAAGTTCGACTGCAAACTCCATGTAAATTTTGATTCGGAGGGTCAACTGGGGTTATAGAGCGTTTGGATTAAAATTTCAGGAGTTTATTGGCAATTTCAAATGGTTGAACACTGGGAGGGGGGGGAGGGGGAAGGTAAGTAGGCCGGGAGGAGAGTGAGGTCAAGACTGGGTAGGGTATGACATATGGTAGCAAAGTTGTTTTTAATTATCTCAGCTGCCTCCTCTCTAGGTAAATGAGAGATGAAAGGAAATGTGGGAGACTGACGGTTAAGACCACAGAGATCTTTTACCTTGGAGTACCACTGACCGATGGCGAGCTCCTTGAGGCCGTACACCTTCCTGGGTGGGTGAGTGGGGATGATAATGGGTGGGTGGGGATGATAATGGGTGAGTGGGAAGGGTAATGGGTGGGTGAGGGTAATGGGTGAGTGGAAGGGTAATGGATGGGTGGGGATGGTATTGGGTGGTGAGGAGGGTAATGGGTGAGTGGGAAGGGTAATGGGTGGGTGGGGAGGATAGGATAAAGAAACTAAAATTGTACATTCCCTAGAAAGACGAAGAGTGCGGGGAGATATGATAGAAGTATTTAAGTGGGTGAAAGGAATCAATAAAGGAGATATAGATAAAGTTCTTATAATATCCGAGCAGGATAGGACTCGGAGCAACGGATTTAAGTTGGATAAGTTTAGGTTTAAGAGGGAGATAGGAAGGAACTGGTTCACAAATAGGGTGGTGGACGAGTGGAACAAGCTTAGCAACTTTGTAGTAAGTGCTGGAACACTGCAAAGTTTTAAAAGGAGGCTAGATAGATTCATGGATGATAGAGAGTGGTAGTAACTCTCGACAGGAGCTGCCATGCACAGGCCAACCGGCCTATTGCAGACTCCTTATTTTCTTATGTTCTTATGTTGGTGGTGGCGAGTGTAAGGCGGACCCTGGGTGTGTCTGGTCCGGTCAGGTCAACATTGACCGCTAAGCACTGATTGTCGCTCTAACACTTGTTTCTTCTTTTCGAGTTGAAATTGACACTTTTGTATATCACTTGTGGGTTGATCGTCAATCTTTGCACTGTCCTGTAGGTGGGAGGATGTTGATAAATCCAGATGGGGAGGAGGAGATGGGGAGAGGGAAGGCCCGACAAACCATACTGGCGGCGCCGACGCCCTCACCCTATAAGAACATAAGAACCTAAGAATGAAGGAAACTGCAGCGGGCCTATTGGCCCATACTGGGCAGTCCCATTTACACCCAACCCCTATTTCTCATATATCCATCCAACCTATGTTTGAAGCTATCCAGCGAATTTGAGTTAATTATGATGTTTGGTAACTTGTTCCACTCGTCCACTACTCTATTTCCAAACCAGTGTTTACCTATTTCGCGCCGAAATCTAAATTTGTCTAATTTAAAACCATTGTTTCGAGTTCGCTCCTGGTTGGATAGTTTGAGTACCTTTGTAATGTCCCCTTTGTTTAGCCCTGACTTCCACTTATACACCTCTATCAGGTCGTCCCTCGCTCTACGTCTCTCGAGGGAGTGCAAATTAAGAGTGGGGATGATAATGGGTGAGTGGGTAGGGTAATGGGTGGGGAGGGGAGGATTATGGGTTGAGTGGAGAGGATAATGAGTGAGTGGAGAGGATAATGGCTGGGTGGAGTGGATAATGGGTGGAGAGGATAATGGCTGGGTGGAGTGGATAATGGGTGGGTGGGGAGGATAATGGGTGAGTGGGGAGGATAATGTGTGAGTGGGGGAGGATAATTGGTGGGTGGAGAGGATAATGGGTGGGTGGGGAAGGTAATGGGTGGGTGGGGAGGGTAATGAGTGGGTAGGATGGTTTGTTAATGGGTGGGAAAATGAGAGAGGGGACTGGAACAGGTTGTGTCAGAGAGAGAGGAGACACAGACAGACAGACAGGCAAATAAACGGAGAGAGAGAGTGGGGAGAGAGAGACAGACAGGCAAACGAACGGAGGGAGGGCCAGAGCGAGGGGAGAGCGCTAGCCAGGGAGGGAGTGAGTGAGGGAGAGTGCGGGTGTGAGGTGTGGGAGACCTGCGGCAGTGTGGAGTGAGTGCGCGGAGTGAGAGGAAGGAGTGTGTGCCAGGCTCCACCCAGAGTGCCACCACCACACACACATAGGTGCCACCACGGGCCAGGCCGACAGTGCCACGGACGCCCAACACAGTGCCACGGACGCCTACACCACAGTGACACCAGACTTGCATCTATTGTATTACAGGACCTAGTGAGTGTTAATATTGATTTATTGAATGATAATTATATTCTTATTTTTTGTTCGTAAACTGTAAACTATTTTGTAAGTTTTATATGTAAACTGTAGACTGAAATTTTTGTCTGTAAACTGTAGACTAATCACCAATTTTTGTCTGTAAACTGTAGACTAATCACCAATTTTTGTCTGTAAACTGTAGACTAATCACCCTTTTTTGTCTGTAAACTGTAGACTAATCACCATTTTTTGTCTGTAAACTGTAGACTAATCACCCTTTTTTGTCTGTAAACTGTTTGCTAATTAGTACGTATTGTTTGTAAGCATTTGGGTAATTAATAAGTTCTACTCTGGGTGTTCACTAATTACAAAGTTACTTCCACTTAACACAAATTACTTGTATGTTAATGTTATTCTTAACTTATTTCAATAACTTGTAGATTCTTTTCATTACACGTTGTATAATAATCTACAAGTTCGCTTTTTGAATACAACCAAAACAATGTAAAAGAATTTCAACCTAACCTAACCTAACCTAACCTAGAGTTTCGGTTGATGAGGTGTCCAGGAATTTCATCCGTCAAACAGTTTATTTTTTAATTTATTTATTTATTTATTTTTTATTTTTTATTTTTTGCGGGGGTAATCCGTACTGTGACAGGTGTGAGCGTGGCTTGTGGTTGTGGCGTGGTTGTGGCGTGGTAATGGTGTGGTAATGGCGTGGTTGTGGCGTGGTTGTGGCGTGGTAGTAGCGTGATAGTGGCTTGTGGTTGTGGCGTGGTTGTGTGGTAATGGCTTGTGGTTGTGGCGTGGTTGTGGCGTGTGGTAATGGCGTGTGGTTGTGGCGTGGTAGTTGTGTTCCTAATGTGTACTCAGAACTAATGGTGCTACTATTTGTACTCAGAGTTGGTGGCTTTACTGCATGTCCTCCAATAAATGTTATATGTTTTTCTTTAATAAGATAGAAAGATAGATATTTATTCAGTAAAATCGTTATACAAGTTTACATTAATTCAACATGTTACACACACTACACAGCACAGGTATATACACACTGTATATGGATCGTGCAGGTAAATTATTATATATCGTATCTGGATAACCCAAGAGGACTGAGACCTTAGGAACGACAAGGACACAATAGGGTGGCTGTCAGACTCACAAAGACATTCCAGATCTTGAAAGGGAAGGAATACGTAATTCCAGAACAATTTTTCGCCATGTCACGCGTCACCAACACAAGGGGACACAACTTGCAGCTCGCCAAGGTGTCTTACAGGACGTATATAGGAAGTACTTCTTTATGCCGAGGCTGATAGACCTATGGAAGTGAGAACAGTACTGGGCTTCAAACAATCCCTGAACAACACTATCAAGAACACTGGCGATCCTATACAGGTCACTAATCACCTTTAGCTGGGGCCGCCATTTTCTGATCATATAAACACAGTAAACCTAACCGAACCTAACTTATCCGAACTTATTTGTTTTATTTAAATATACGAACAAATGTTACAGTATTTGACATCTGCGTTTCCTAAGGGAGAAAAACTGAGGCCCGGTCATGGCGGTGGCTTAGGGGAAACTGCAGCGATTTGTAAATATTGGACGGCTGTGATGGTCGTCATTTATTGTCACCGCTCACCCCCTGTTAGTGTAATGGAACCCGGGGAGATGACCGGGGGTTTGTCATTCATTCATATGTTGTGTTAGTGTGTGTGTGTGACGAGGCTCTTTCCGGGGGAGGGGACGGCCGGGGGAAGAGGCGGACGGGGTAGGGGGTAGACGGGTTAGGCAGACAGGGAGGGAGAGAGGAGACAGGAGAGGAATGGACGATGTTGATAGTGGTGATTGATTTGTTGTGTTTGATGTTGTTTAGTTTTTGTTAGTGTTTATGGCCACCCCCACCCCACCCCACCCACCCACCCACACCCCACCCCACCACCCACCCCACCCACCCCCACCACCACCCACCCACCCCACCCACCCACCCCACCCCACCCTACCCTAATTTGGGGAGGGGAGGAATCCACATAAAACAAATCCTCACTCCCTTGTTGACAAAATCCCAACTGATGCACATATTTTCAGAGTATAGGACGAGATTTAACGTTCCTATATCAATAAATAGACTACAGGGGATATATACCAATCTATCCTAACCTATGTGTGTGATACGTGACAACTGACAACATTCACACGGATCTGGCTCCTTCATGGATCAAATCGTAAACAAAAATTCCATCTGAAGTGAGTGTATAAATTTCCTTTCTATATTACGTGTTGTAACTTGTAGAAAATAAAACATATTTCCGTCACTTACCAGTATTAAATTCCTTCTTCACACAGTCTGATTACCCTAACTTCACAGAATTCTCACACGTACTGGGCTCCCGAGTCCCCTCCTCCTGCCGCCTACATCAGCCGTCACGTAACTCTTAATCTCCATCTCATCTTGCCGGGAAACTATCCTCTCTTCCTCCTCCCTCCTTCCTTCCCTACCCTCTCTCTCACCCTTCTTAGATATCCCCCCCCCTCTCTCTTACCCTCCTAAGTTATTCCTCTTTTCCTCCTCCTTCCCTCTACCCTCCCCCCTCACCCTCCTTAGTTATCCCTCCCTCTCTCTCTCTCTCTCTCTCTCTCTTTATCAATTCTCTATACGCACGTCCTCACACCTTCACCATCGTCATCTCGCTTCAGATTGTCAATTCCCGTTAAAGTTAAAAGGCTTCTTGAGCGTCACAGTTTATGGTAAAAAAGTTTAGTATAATGTGAGTTGATCAGCTCAAGTCGACCTAAGTTTTGTCACCCAAGACTCAAATTCCCGAGATTCCATGACGTGTAGGAGCCTCTGTCAAGTGAAGGCTGATGTAACTCTTTCTTTATGGTGACAATAACAGTGATGGAAGATTCTGTGATAGATTTAATGTATATGGATTTAGAATACATTTGGTAGGAAAATATTAGAATAATCAAGTGTGTGTGTGTGTGTGTGTGTGTGTGTGTGTGTGTGTGTGTGTGTGTGTAAATGTAGATCACCTCAACTCGATGAATCTCCTGTTGAGTTTAAAGACAATTTGTAAACTCCTTCAAGAGTCATAGTTTTGTGGACGAGGTGACATCAAAATTATTATTATAGGAAAAAAATAACGACCCATGATTTCGGAAGAAATGGGCAGATCATCTTAAAACATGACAAGACATTATTTTTTATATTTGTTTTAACATTTTTACATCTGACGACAATTAAATTTGTTTATATATATATATATATATATATATATATATATATATATATATATATATATATATATATATATATATATATATATATATATAATTAAAATAAAAGTTTGTGATGCCATATTGTATCTCAAAAATTGGTAAGGGACTTTTTTACGGTGCATACGTGGAGAAAATGTGAGATAAATTATAATTGAAACTGTAAAAACAAAAAGACAGACACTTATTCTATAGGTTTTTGAAGCCAACACCGTATAATTTTTTTAATCATAAATTCTACAGACACAATGACTACTTAAAATATTTAAACGATAATTAATGAAGAAACTTTCTCACTTATCGGCGCCATGTTTGTTTAGGGTCACGTTTTCTAAGGGTTAGTCACTGTTCGCCACCCGGTGTACCTGATGTCTAATTGTATACGACAGTCAGGTACCAGATAAGTTCCTTCATGTTTTGATGATTCTGCTGTGATGTTTATATCGTTCATTATTATTATTATTATTATTATTATTATTATTATTATTATTATTATTATTATTATTATTATTATTAGTAGTAGTAGTAGTAGTAGTAGTAGTAGTAGTAGTAGTAGTAGTAGTAGTAGTAGCAGCAGTAGTAGTAGTAGCAGTAGTAGTAGTAGGACTTCAAACACATCTAACGAATCCCGTGTTGACGTCAGTGCTCGAGGATTCTGGACGCGGGGACAGCGAGCTTTCTTCGACATCAGGATTTTTTATCCCATGGCCGCATGTCACCTTAACCTAGCTCTCGATGCTGCTCACAGGAGGAACGAGAACGACAAGAGAAGGGCATATGGGGAGAGAATTCAAAACGTTGATCAAGGCAGCTTCACTCCTCTAGTGTTCACAACCTCTGGTGGGATGGGACCAAGTGCAAGATGTTTCTACGACAGACTCACGGGGTTGATCTCCGAACAGAAGCAGCAGCCCAGAAGTTATGTTACAGCCTGGATGAGATGTCGACTGTCTTTCTCTCTCCTTCGGTCGGCTTTGCTCTGCCTCAGGGGAACGAGAGCTTCTGCCTCAATGCCGACAACTGCTGCAGATATTGACTATGAGGCTACAGTCACTGAATGCCGCATAGATCTGCGGCTCAACTAATTCAAAACAGATAGGATAGCTACTTATGTATTAGGATATTTAATATTAAGGTAATAAAATGGCGGCGAAGGTGTGGCTATTGGGGGAGGCTGAGGCCATTTAATGGATACAAAAGTAATAGTAGTAGTAACCATAATACAGACAAATACTTCCATTGTCCCGACCTTGTATGGGATCACATACAAGAAAACCCAGTTGCCACTTATTTCGGTCGTGCACTTACGCCCACTTCAGGGCCTGCACGTCCGCGTAACTCGACATCCACTCAGCGAGCTTTTTACGAGCCATCCGCTCGAGTGCTTCCTTGAGTGACCCTTAACGTAGGGAGTGTTACAACTGGCCCAGCCACACACAGACACACCTACGAATTTTTGGTTGTGTTGTTACGCTCAATATCTGTCTTGTTTGATAACTGTTCGACAATGATTTTTCCCTCAGTGTGAATGAGCCACGTTAGGTAAGCGTTCGGGTGGTTAATCTTGAAGTGAAATAAGCTGGGGGCTGAGTTCATGTCATCCATTATTATTATTATTATTATTATTATTATTATTTTTATTATTATTATGTTCCTGGGACCTGGGTTTACACATCTTCCTGACGCGTTTCAAGAAAGTCTCGCCGCTCGTTCACGAGTTTCCCCGTTCATTT